ATGAAGAAACACTGAAATCCTTGCCTTTACTGACCCCTTCTAATGGGGCAAGACAGTCAGCAATTAATCATACATAGAGCATGTTAGCAATGAGTGTTAAGGAGCAGAACAAAGTGGGAAAGACCCTGGCACTTTCTATATGAGCTTGAGTAACTTCTAACCTATTATCATCAGTATACAAACATTGTCATAAAATGCTAATTATTGAAACGTCATTTGGAAACCAGATCACAAGTACTGGCAACTGATGATAGTTAACCTACTGGAGAAGGTAAAATTAGTTCTTCACACTTAAAAAAAAATTGTGTGTGTGTGTGTGTGTGTGTGTGTGTGTGTGTGTGTGTGTGTGTGTTTCTTCCAGAGACTTGACATCTGGTTAAATAAAGTTGGCATTTCACTTTTTAATATTCTTACTTTAAGGTATAAATATTGTATAAACTGTAGTATTTGTCTCAAAAGATATTTTAAAGTTATGTTAGAAAATTCTAAATGTAGGCAACCTTTTAATACTTCTGGCATATTTTTAAATATAAATATTAGTAAGTTGAATTTGAACAAAAAATTTAAATTAATGTTAGATTTTTAGCTTTCTCAGTTTTTTGAACCTGTATTGTAGATCCTAACAAACTTCATTTAAAAAGGAAAAGGTTATTTTTTAAAATGTTTCCCACTGGGCATAACAATTTCTGTTAATTTTCATGATATAGTTAATTATTCTTACAAAGCAAAAAAAAGGAAAGAATATTTATTTTTATTAAGTTCAAAATGATCTGATAGAACATCATCAACCAAATATGAATATCTTTACACCTGTCTTGTAAAGCTGAGGATAGATGCAGATTGAAATAAGTTGTCATTTTTTTCTCAGATAACAGTCTTTAAAAGTCATATTTTACAATGAAAAAAAACATTGAGACGTATATTTTTTATTTTAGCTTGTTCAGTTTTTATAGCTAAGTAATTTTAATTATAGTAACCAGCTAGTACCCATATTCCCTAGAAAAATTTGAAGAATGCAGGCTTCATTACATGTATGTGTATATGTATACTTATAACTGATTTCTAAGTTAATACTGTCACCTCCCCATTCTCCCACTATTGACCTTGAAAACAGAATTCTACTTCAGTCTGTCGCTACTTGACCACCACACAGGATTTATGCAGGCTGCGTGGTGGACAGTCTTCTGTCTGTTTCTGCAAAGAACAACTGGGGGATGGGGCTGTGCTGCAGCAAAATCTCCTGAGGTGCCCCACAGCTAATGCTGTTCCAATTCAGTACCCCCAAAGCATATCCTTGCCAATGCACTTTTCACCCAGCAATGGTCTGCTGTAAAAGAAATTCAGGCTGCAATAGCAGGAAAAGTTAGAAGCACCTTAAAAGTATAATGTATAGTACTATGATAACACTGCCATTCACACTAATATCTTCATAACTTAAGCCCCATCCACTTTCTTATTTTTGTTGCCAATTATTTTCTGACGTGAACTCTACACTCCACCTGACTACGTCAGTATTGTTAATGCCCAAGGTCACACCTGCCTGCATGCCTTTGCTTCTGTTTATTTATTTTTCTACTTAGATAATATTCTCTTTTCCTTCTGACCCTTCCCAGAATTCTACTTGTTAAAATCCTACTCCTTCAGAACTTTTTCAGTGCCTCTTTCAGTCTGAGACATTTTTTAGACTCAAAAAGTAGTGAAATTGTACTCTTTGAATCCCAGTTATACTAAATACCCCACAATATAATTATTTCATTCTATCTAGAATTACACTCATTTGTATTCTTGTCTTATGTCCCCTACCGCGTTTTTCTACTACTCTATAAGATGTTTGAGAGTAGCAGGAACTGTTTCTTATCCCTCTAGGTATTTCTCAAAGCATCTCACATAAACATCGAATCTGCATTTAATTATTGTTTTAAACAAGATTCTTTTTTTTAAAAAAAAATATCATCTAAATTGTAAGGACATAAATGCCAGAACCGGAAACACCATAGCTCTGTGCAACTGCCTCCTAACAAAGCGTTTATGAACTTGATGTGGGGAGGAAAAGTCATGTTTTTATTTCTAAGAAGTTTCACATAATAGCTGATATTTTTATATGACCATAGAAGTTTATTTACATAGCAGAATTTTTCAAAGTCTTATAACATTATTCCCTTTAATGGAATAATAGAAAATCTCAATAGTGGTATTGGTATGAAAGATATATTTCTATTTAAGATGATTTTTTAAATTATGACTAATTTTGTCATAAATCACATTTTATAATTTCCTAAATACTATGGAAATATTCCCAGAAGTCTCAAATTACATCTTTCTGTAACTAATAGATAAATTCAGTATTATACCTATCAACTTTTCTACCATAAAATTATTCCCCAAGCAACATCATGATGCTGCAATGACTAATTACTACAAACCATTCTTTCAAAATTGCCATCTTCTCTTTATAATTAAGACCACACTGGGGCTTATCTGTACAAGTATCCTGACATCAGACCAAAACTGCTGATGTAGCTTTAATGTGTAGTGGGGCAAGCAAATAAATAACCTTTACGTCTGTAAACTTAACTGCTATCCTGCAATTTCTCAACACGTTATGCTGATGTTGTAGATTTGTTCTTATTTTATTCCAAAGCCAACCAATCAATTCCAATGTCAAAAACCATTTGAAGTTTTAAGATCACATTTTAAACAGCATATTTATTAATCAAGGAGAAAATGAAGTAAGTCGAGAAGCCTATTCTTTGTGGAAGATCAGTACTTTTACTATTAAATAATAAAGACATTATTAAAATAATTATATATAAACTTACATATATATTGTATTTATAATTAGCTTGTCTGAGAGTTAAGATTGGATAAATCTTTGAAGAATTGGTAATCGGAGAGCTCATTTATCTCCCCAGCCCAATTAGTATGTTTTAGGATTCATTTCTATCAAATCCTAAACTTCTTTGCAGAGGCTTACAGGGTCACAGAGCTGTGTGACGGAGGATAGGATATGAACTGTGACAGATGTTTCCACCGTCGTGAAGCAGAGATCATTAATGAAATGCTGTTTGATGCGGGTTATTCTGAGGTCGAACCAACGTTCAACACTGCATAAATGATTCTAAATTGCAGTTGATCTCTCACATAAACTTTTTACTGATTTATTTGCTGAATAAAGCGATGTCTTTAATCATAAGTGAAGTGATACTGAATGATCAGCTCAGGTGTGGCCCCTGGCTTTATGTTTGATTTTCATCCAAATCTCACTTCTTGAGCCATTTTCCATGTTAGGGTCCCTAGCTACTGAATGGCCTTTTGTTATTTATTTTTAACTTTCTGAAGCCTGCTTTCCTAAGATTTAAAGCCCACCTCTTATTACATTCAACATTTCCTCTATTTACTATATTGCTAATGTTTGTAATGAGTACTCAAGTTTCCCACCATTCCACATTTACAACCAGTTCTTTTATATTCTAAGATGAAATTGGAGGCTGCATAAGTTCCAATAGATGAAACTGTCAATAAAGTGAGCAATAAATTCTTCCAATACCCTGCTTTTAACGACATAAGAATTTGTGTTTTCATAATTGTCATCAGAAATAGCACAGAGGTAACAAACTGACCCCCATAAATTCCTCATTGTTACTGTGGTCACATCGTTAAAGCTGTTTGGGTTCATCCAGTTAATAATTTTTAACTCATAGAACAGTTGTGAACATAAAACGCCACCTACAAAGTACTTATTATGGGGCTACCACATATTTTAAAAAAGTCCAGAATGACTCTGACACCATATATTATTGATAAGAAGGTGCATCTGTTTTACCCATTAACATCTCTGGAATAATGGCATCTCACATTGGATGCATTTTAAAACCTCTGTGGCCAAGCAACAGTTATGGCACAGTCATCATTTCTTGTACATGTGAAATTGTTGTTATTCCTGGTGGAGCAATTCCACGATGCTTCTGCAACAAAGCAGACGAAAACTGCTAGGACCATTTGAGGAAAGAAAATAAATACCAGTTGCTTGCTTAAAAATTTCATTGATACCTTCTGGGGCAATTAAAGATGCTACAATATCAAAACTTAGAGATGAGTATCAGTATTCCAGAAGAAAATTCTAGAGATGAAAAAGGAGAACTCTTTTTTAAGAAACCCTACATCAGCTTTTTTGACATCACAGAAGCTGATACTGTGTAGGAGGAGAACACGGACTTCAATGGGTGTGAATTAAAAACTGGCTTGAAAGACTGGGATTCTTAATGTAAATAAGTTTTAGAAATACCTTTCCTTTTCATGTATGTAAAAGAGAAATATTAAAAGCTATATTATTAAGTCATAAAAAGCTATTTCTATAAGCACACAATATACGTTAGAGTTTATCGGAAAGCATATTTTAATTTGCAGCCGTTTCTTTTTCCTTGGGACACGTAAAATGATGGTGGATTGCACAGTCAATACAACTTACACTTGAAGAAATATGATACTATTGTTACTCAGTGGCCTTCCCAGTAATGCTCTGGAGCATCATAATATATCATTCACAGTTAATATCCCTGTTTCTAATCACCCTGAAACCTAATACATTAAATTAAGCAACATTTCAAAACTTGTAACTAAGACTTTCAACCTTGGGGATAATATTTGAAAATACACTTGGTTTTCTGCATCCGCAAAGTCTCAATACCCATGTTTCTCCTGGTCAGCAATAACATGGGCCTCATTTGTGCCTCATTTTCACTTTCTCTGGAGGACAATGGCCTCTTTCTTTAAGGTCTTCCATAGCCCCCTAAAGCAAGTGTCATGTAACTAGAGTTTATATTTTAAGCCACTGAGGTCAGATTAACACATAATTTGCTTCCCTAGCAGTGTGTAGGTCACAGGCTATGTGCCAAATAAGTGGTGGATCTTGTTGTCAGCCGTGTTAATTCCAAAGAACAGAGAATGGTCAGGTTCCTGCTGGCACCATATCTAATCTGCTGTCATTGTCCTTTTTTTAGGTGGAATTCACTGTCCAAATAGCAGTGCTTTGCAAGAAGTGCGAAGCTGTAATGAGCATCCTTGCACTGTGTACCACTGGCAGACTGGTCCCTGGGGCCAGTGCGTGGAGGACACCTCCGTATCGTCCTTCAACACAACTACGACTTGGAACGGGGAGGTTTCCTGCTCTGTCGGCATGCAGACGAGAAAAGTCATCTGTGTGCGAGTCAATGTGGGCCAAGTGGGACCCAAAAAGTAAGAGCTTTAGAATGACAACAGTAAATTCTGTAGCCAACTGTGCAGAGGATTGGCTCAGGCTTCACTGGCTTCATGAAATGGAGCATTTTGATGCTTGTCATACCTGTCCTCAAGAGTAAGATTTGTTTGTTTTGAAAGTCAGCCACTGATAAAACTATAACGGCTTTGAGTTTTGTACTGGGGAGCCATAAATTCCATAGAAATCTTTCTATCTGGTAGCTACTTTGTGTTTTATGGTAGCACTTTCTGCTTTTATTAAGCTAGTGAGGCAATGAAAGAAGTGCTTGCTTTAAGCCTGGCTGATCAATACTGACAGTGTACTAAGTCCTGGCAGTGTGGGTCATCCATGACCTCCTATATACCCATAGGCTATGGAGGCTGCCCAATCTAGTTTAATTGGATAGAAGCCTTGTATGATCTGCCTTTCATTTCCCCTAAAAAACACTATATCAAAAATACTGAAGCATACTTACTGTATCTTTCAATAGTTAGAATAAAAACCATTTATTTTCAAGACAGAGCCTTGGGATAGGATGAGTGTTATTATAAGTAGAAAAACTATCAGTTTCTCAGGGTGGAGATGAGTACTGTAATAACAAGGAAAACACTTTGCTGGAGGGGAGAACAAAGAACCAGAGAGTTGGCATATTCTATGTGCCTTGTGAGAAGTATGAACAAAAACAGTGGCATAGCTGAGCTATTGGATGCATAGAGAAAATTAATAAATCCACTCTAAAAAATATTTGAGGGGAAAAACTTCTTTATTTTTCAAATCTAAGACAGCATACTTTAAAAAAATTCAAATCACTTTAGCCATGTGAGATATGAAATGGTAAACGAGTCAATTTTTGCATGAGTTTAAAAGCCTCATCTTTTCAAAATACTCAGCCAAGTGGTAAAATATTGTGTGTAATCTTCGGCATGCTACCTAACTTATCCTGGCCAACAGTTTCAAAGTCTGTTGAAAGGCTTTAATGAAAAATATAATAGTAATCCAAGTACTCAATAAATGTTAGAAATTGTTCTTTCTTTCTTAAGAATGTTAGCTACTCCTTAGTGTTCCAGGAAGATGAAAGTGTTTCTGATGTGTGAAAAACTCCAGGGAGATAAATAAGAATCCCATTATGAGATGTTTTTATCTGGCCTGGGTTCCAGACCTTAGGGATATTTTGCCCCATGACTTATTTGTTTATATTGCTTGAAATTAGGAAACAGTAAACATGCCAGTGATTTGAATAAATTAAAAGACTGTTTCACATGTTTAATAGGTAGCCTCAAACCAGTATTTTAATAGAAATTATGCTAAAGCGGTGATGAATCTCAGGAAATTAATGTGCAGTGTATTAAAATCAAAAGTAACAAGAGCAGAAGTCCCAAGTCTTGGAGGATTCTGATTCTTGCTGGAATAAGAATAAAGGTATTCACTACCCAGGCACAGGCCCAGCCTGCTGTGGCACAGGATGAGGGTTACTGTGCTGAGCGTCTACCAGTAAGCTCATTCTGTTCCTGTCCAATGGTTAATCATCTTCCAGATGTTGCTGTTGACATTTTCCTCACTTCTACAAACTACAAAATATTTTTCCTAAGTAATGGATGTGCGTATGTAAAAGCCTATATGTAAAAAAGCCTGCTGGATTAACAGCATTAAATCAGTGGGAAGGATATCCTGAAGCCCCACATCACATTACCACAATAATTCATTAAAAATTTGCTTTGCCCTTGTAGCCTTCATTCAATGACCTATATACATCTATAGACTTGTTAGATCAAATGGATGTACTTTGCCTTTAAAATTCTAGAAAATCAAGCAAATACTGTGAATTCAAAAGAAAACATTATTGTCCTTCTCCCTAAATGCTAGGTTAAATTCAGTGAATGGTTTCCAATACTAGGTATTTGGACCAAAAAATGCAAATTGAAAATTTGTTTTAAACTTCTCTTAATAAAACAGATTACTGTGCAATGGTAAAATCAATGTTATTGATCTTATCTATCCTCCCAGTAACAAATTTCAGCTCCTATCACATCTGTTTAATTTGACCTTGCATAAGATTTGGGGGAAAATCAATTCCTTGATTTAAACCATAAACACTGAATACAAACAGTACAAAGGATAAAAGAAGCATGTTGACTGAACCAATTGCCTTACCAAAGGAAGTCCAAATTCATTTTATTGGATGTCATGTAGACTGTATAATTTATCTTTGTGTGTTCATTTAACAACTTTGTTGTTTGTAATTTTGTTCTCCACAGTCAGCCAAGTATCTTGCTGTGACTATTTCTGAACTAAAACAGAATAGTTGGAGGTTGTCAATGATAACATTGTAAATTCCATTGATTTATTCAGGGTTAGTGTCTGAGGAGAATGTAGCTGAGGAACGCTCTGTCATTGTTAAAGTTATGAAATTGCCTTTTGGAAAAAAGCACTGAGAATAATAATTACTGACCAATAATTTCATAGTTCCAAAAGAATTAACTGAATTACATGTGGAGTTCAATTATAATTCTAGTGATTTATAGTCTAAATTGTAATAATACATTAGCTTCTATGATTCAAATCTAAATTTCTTTGTTGTCCATGACTTTGAATAGTCATAGAAATTAGGAAAATTCCAGCTGAAGATAAATCAAAAAGACTATTTTTGAAGTGTTGGATTCTTTATATTTTAAGATTCACTTCCAAATATACACTAGGATTTTCAAGTAAAAGAGGAGAACATGGATCTACATAATTGAATAAAGCATAATATTTATGTATGAGAAAGAAAATGGACATAAATAATTATAATACAAGATGTGTCAAAAATGAAGTATCAGTAAAATACTATAAAAATATGGGAAATATATTACTCATGTTGATTTTTTTCACTCATAGTTCACTTCTGAAAACCTGAGTAACTTACTTGACAAAAGACAATTTATCTTGAACTACAAAATATTTGAATTATCTTTTATATAGTATTTTAGAATCTGATTTGCCATTTTATTTTAACAAGAACTATACTAGTTGTTTAGATTATTTCTTCATTGCCTATTAGCTTACATGGCAAGGATTTATATGACTTCAAAAGAGAATTGCTTAGGAATCAGAATCTAAGTTGTTACTTTTAATTATATGAATTATGTTATTATTTTTTAGTTTTCTAAGGCTCATGATCAGCGCTGGACCTATAGCAATAGTAGCATCAGATCATGAAAATGCAGAGAAGAATTGGGAAATATAAAAATTATTACTTCTCAGCCTTTTGGCTAAGATCAAGTGTAAAAAATTATATAATAAGTATATTTTGAATAAGGCAGTATATTTTAAACCTGTGCATAGCTTCCTATTATCTTTTAAGAAGTGAAAGCTTATATGAAGTTAGACATTCCCGTGTTCTTCATTCTTATCTTTCTCTCGTATTCCCAATAAATAATATATTTTTGCTGTTATTTTGAAAACAATAATTTTACCACAATTTATGTCAAGCACACAGTATTTCATTTTTCTTTAAACTACTGATTTACTACCTTTATTGTATTTATATTCATTATTTTTGTTCCAAAAAGATACTGTAGCTTATAAAAACATAAAAAATATTAAATCCCATAATTCAAAACCAGCGACTAATGGAAAAGAAAACACAAATAGATACACTAAATAAAACCAGGAATAAAGCAAAAACTGCTTATGAGATTGATTAATACACTTTTATTTTCTCATTTATTATTAAGTATGTAGTTCTTAATATAGTATTGTATTTTGACTACTGTGTAAAAAATATACTCCACTGTAAATTTGTTTTCTACAATATGTATTTTGTAAAAGTAAAGTGTAGAATAACCTGGACACTTATAATAGGCAAAAAGCCTATTTAGTCATACAAATATAGAATTAGATCCTTAAATTCATAATTTAAATTTCCACAAAATTTCTCATAAAATACATTAGCATATAAATATTTATTAATGGAGAGATTATTATAAGAGGATAAGGGGTGGTTGTTATATCTGGTTCTCAGTTGTATCACTGCTATTAGCAAATCTGCACATCTTGCCTTGAGAAGCTTTACTGAGGTCCAGTTTGAAACAATCAATTTAGTTGTATAGTTTTTGCCTGTAGCAGAAAGAAAGGCTCCTGGAAGTTAAATAATACAGATGAGTGACTTGTTTTGTGATTTTATCAGTGAAAATTCTAGAGAAATTAAATTATCTGATTTGCTGCCTTTCTATTGAAGCCTAATAATTTCCCTTTGCTTTCATAGATGTCCTGAAAGCCTTCGACCTGAAACTGTAAGGCCTTGTCTGCTTCCTTGTAAGAAGGACTGCATTGTGACCCCATATAGTGACTGGACATCATGCCCTTCTTCATGTAAAGGAGGTATGGTCTGCAGAGTTAGGAAGGCTGTTCACCTAGAAAACCCCCTCAGTAGACTTCTGAGGTCTGGCCTAGCATTGTTTGTGAGTTTTGTACAGGGCTATGTAAACCTGATTTAATATGGATGCCATACAATTTTAGTTTCCCCCTAGAAAATAACATAGCTTGAGAAAACCAAACAAGTGAGTTTTATTCCAAAGCCTGACTTGAAAGTTTATGATATAGATTAAAGTGATGAATTCTAAATCTTATTATATTAATAATGTTTACTTTCACATTTTCTGAAAGAATATGTACTGGTTTGTATATTTTAAAAGGATATACAGTGCTTTTATCTGTACACATGGCTTTCAACCTACTTAATATAAAGAAATGACATGTGACTAGATTTGCTGCAGATTCAATTATGCAGCTACAAGAATAGGAATAAAAGAAAGAGAAAAATGGCCAAATTGTTTCTTTGCCAACATACTCTGTGTCAGGAGGAATTTATGAGTGTTTATCCCCAGTTTGGTTTAGTTTTGCTTTTATTACTTACAGACAAAGACTCCTTAGTACCAAGCCAAATACTTTGATAATTCTTTCTTTACCTTCTAGGACAGGGTCTTTTCTCATTGCTGATGAGAAAGGTATCAACATCCTCCAGGTGACTTATACAATAACTGACCAAATTTCCCTGCAGTATTACAGATGACACTGTCTCCTATTTCTTATCTTATTCACTCAACAAATACAGATAATTTTTTCTAAATTCCCATTATGCTTTTTATTCTTGTTTCTTAACACGAGAGACTCAATTAAGAATCAGCTTCTAGCTTAACAGATATTTTAAATTGTCAAAATTTATTCAAATCCTTTATGGATTATAAATTTAACAATAGATACTTTTACTGTGTTATTATAAATGTATGTGGTTGAAACGTGAGTTTCTTTTGATGCTTTTTCTATTTAATACTCTTGAAATATCAAATAATATTAAACCACAAACTGAAAAGAGATAGAAAATTATTTTTTAAATTTATTTTATTATTTTTTTAAGACAGAGTCTCACACTCTGTCATTCAGGCTGGAGTACAAGTGGCTCAATCTCGGCCCATTACACCCTCAACCTCCTGGGTTGAAGAGATTCTTCTGCCTCTTCCTCTAAGTCACTGGGACTATAGGCACGTGCCACCACGCCTGGCTAATTTTTGTATTTTTAGTAGAGATGGGGTTTTGCCATGTTGGCCAGGCTGATCTAGAACTCCCAGTCTCTAGGGATCCACCTGCCTCAGCCTCCCAACGTGCTGAGATTACAGGCATAAGCCACTGCCAATATTTTTAAGAGTCTTTTAAGGCATTTAAATAACTTATGGCAAATTAAAGGAGATGTGAGCATTAACCTTTATAAACATGTTGATAGCATAAACTTGCTATACAATGTCATTGCGTGACATTTTAATCCAGATTTTCTTCTATTCCTTTAATTTTTTTATTTTTATTTTATTTTTTTGAGACGGAGTCTTGCTGTGTCGCCAGGCTGGAGTGCAGTGGCGCAATCTCCGCTCACTGCTACCTCCACCTCCTGGGTTCAAGCGATTCTTCCGCCTCAGCCTCCCGAGTAGCTGGGACCACATGCGCGTGCCACCATGCCCGGCTAATTTTTTTGTGTTTTTAGTAGAGACGGGGTTTCACCATGTTTGCCAGGTTGGTCTCGATCTCTTGACCTCGTGATCCGCCCACCTCGGCCTCCCAATCCTTTATTTTTTAAAAGCTGAATAACACTGGGCATAGTTCATAAAAGAATAGTACTTTATTATAGATTAACATTTTACCTATGATGGCAGTTTCTTATAGGTGGTAATTGTTGGTTATTAATTCAATTAAAAAGCATTGTTAATTACATAGAATTAATACATTTACAGATTTTATTCTTGATACGTTTATACTTGATCTTTTGTGTTAATATAAATATGCTCATTTACTAATAATTCCAAAACGTGCAGTTACATTTATAACCAAATTATTAATAGTCTAAAACAAATTTTAACTGAAAATTTTGAAAGTGGAAAGACTTTGCCTTTCTCTTATTTTGGATATTTTCATGTATTGTGTAAAATACTGTTTTAAAACAGCTGACTTGATATAAAGTATTTCAAGGAAGTAAAGATTTAAAAAAGAACAGATTTTATTGAATTGATTCTAGAGTAATCACTAATAAAAGTGAAGAATCAGAATTTTTCTAATTTTTTAGATCTTTATTTCAAAATAATTTTGGATATTGGAATGTATTCAGAAATTTGGACCATTTTAAGTAGCCTACAGATTTTTTCTTAAGTTCTTGAAAATGCATTTGTGATTTTGTAATTTATTATATATGTCTAGAAAGGAAAGAAAAAAATAGAGGTTTCTTACTCATAAAAATACCATACTTGAAAAGAAAATAACATGATTTCTTCATACTGTGATTTTTACGGTATGAAGAAAGTGATTTACTCTTTGCTGTTTAATCATTTATAAAATAAAAAATGTAAAACACAGTGATAATTCACATAATGTACTTTAAGAAAACTTCTTAGCAAGTAGATAAGAATGAATAGATTGTGAATGCTACACAGGCCTTAACTGAGTCAGTACTTAAGTGTGTATATATGCATAAATATTTAATTACTTATTTATTGATTCCTGTATATAACTAGCACACGAATGGTCTTGTAGAGAAATCACAGTCCCTGACATCAAGGAAGATTTAATTACATTTAACATATAGGATTTTTCTGCTCAGCCCAGATAATGTAAGACTTACATGGTTCAATAACAAGGTTTAGTGGTAAAACAGAAAGAGCTCTAAGGAAGAGAATGGAATAATCATGTGAGAGCAAATATATTAAGGAAAATCGTATTTAAAGGAGGGGTAAGAGTTCTTCAGAATTCAAGAAGATCTCTTGAATTGAATTGAAACATGAAAGAATTCCAAGCGGGAATTAGAAACATCAGGAAAGCATTAAATGCCCATGAGAAAGATGTGATTTTGGAAAGAGCAACCCACTGGAGCCCAGGATGTAAAGGAAACTTTCCCAGAAGAGATTGAAGATGAGAAACCAGTGGGTGATGATGAGTTCCCATGGGTGCAGTGGTGGAAGGGCTAGGGGATGTAAAGGAATGAGAAATTGAATCATGTTATACATGTAGGTAGTGCTGTGGGTGATGATAAATGACCGTGGGCTGGGGAGGGCTCTTGTGGTGAGTGACAGCATGTGAGGCATGATGAGTTTAGTGGGGCTGGTCTCTTGGGGGAAGGTAGGAAACCTCCGTAAGTAAAAATGCATGGTGCCACTAGGATACTATCCTCTCCTGGAGTTCCTGGGATGGTGGTGGCAGAGGAGTAAAAAATGCCAACTTGGGAATCAGTCTCTTGGAAGCAAGAGGCTGTCTAAGAGGCAGAGCTGTGTTTCCCTGAACACAGGTCATGTCATCCGGAGCAAGGAATGATAGCTGAGTGTTTTCTTTGGTGACTTATGTTGTGTCTCCTAGAATAAAAAGGGTTTTGGAAACCCTAAACTTAGGCACTCCGCTTTTAAAAGAATCGCTACAATTGTGTATTGAGGAAATAAAAATTTTTTACAGTCTGGGGAGTGATAGAAGGGGTTGTCATTGAATAACAGTGCCAAGATGCTTTGTGCTCTAGAAGAAGCCTTTTCTGTTTTGCCTGGAGACTGCTGTCATGGAGAATAGACAGTAGTGTTATAGAAAGCTAGTCTTTTGTTGTGAAGAAAATAAAGCAATGACTGAGCTTAGTTTTTTTTTCATTATTTGGTAAGAAATGGAAATGATCCAAGCATCATTTTGAAATTACACCAACTTGCACATACTATTTAAAAGTGCTAAACAAAGTTGAATGTTCAGGGAGAGGTAAGAGCAGCAGAAAATTAACTCAAGAATGGGATGGTTCTTTAAGAATGGGATGGTTCTTTTGACTTAATTCTGCCAGTAAAGTCTAAATTTTACAAGGATGTTGCGCTTATTAAAGTGCGGGACCAACCTTCTTTTTAAAAGCACTTTAAAGGAGTAAAATACACAATACTATTACAGGAAATAAAAAAGAATCAGATTCCAGGAAGAACCGAAAGGTTGTTTGAAATGTCACTCAGCCTTCACCTAAAATATCCGCTGACATATCAATGCTGATAAAGATAGGTATTGAGTGGAATGTAGTTTAATCCTTAGACCAGTGACTTGCTATTTTTTTCAAATTTTTATAAATTTTGACAAAGGGCGCTTTAAAAAATAGAAATAATTTATGCACATAAATTATTTGTACCTCTCATTTTTAAAAAATCAATACTTTTGATCAAATAATTTATCTGGTTTCTCAAATTTGGTTTGCTCCTTTTTTTTCTCACTGTATTTATTGTCTTGAGAGATAGCAGGAATATTGCAGAGGCTTCTTCTACCTCATGTCCTAAATCACTAGAACACCAGAATTACCACCAAAGATATGAATACTACCTTTACATTTTCCTTCTTGCATGAAATGTATCCCTTTCTTTCTTCTTTTTTTTTAATTGCATTTTAGGTTTTGGGGTACATGTGAAGAACATGCAAGATTGTTGCATAGATACACACATGGTAGTGTGATGTGCTGCCTTCCTCCCCATCCTTTTCAGTTTCCTATCACTGTGCTGGTCCAACCTGCAGTCCATCCCATTTCCAGTTTAATGAATCCATTTTTCCTGCCCTTTAAATCCGTTTCATCAAGTAATTTCTCTAGTGAAATTTATTTTGAATGTCTTAAGATATCTGAAAAATGCTGTAACTGCGTGAGAAATGACATACCTTCTGAATCTATGTACCACATCATTACATAATTATTTGCTAGAAGTACAATCTGTTTTCTCCATTTCTATCCTAGATAAGCATTTTTAAGCATAAACATCGCAGGCAGGTACCCTTATTTTTTCCCATATCTATTATTTCTAGTGAAAAGTAGATGATAGCTTATTTTTATTAATCCTCAAAGCACAACGTTGGTACCCATGTGCTTACTACTATAAAGGAATAGTTGGAAAGAAATAGAAGATGCTAATAATCCAGTTGAGAAGATATGAAAGAAATGTGTTTGTGCATTCAGTAAATATTTATTAAGCAGTTACTATGTGTGACTCTTATCTCAGGTGTGAAACACACAGATGGATAGAAACACTACACATATATCAACCACATATAATAAAATGAGCATACATACAAACAGGGGACGATGAAAGGTATAAAATTCGAAGTTTGTCAGCTCAAGTTATTACAGAGGAAACTTCTGTTTTTTCTTTTTATAATATGTGCTGTATAGCTTCCTTTTTTTCGGCTCTCTGATCTGAGGGCTCTATAACCTCGCAGAACTCTACAGTGCTGTAACTTTGAGTGCACAAGCAATTTCTTAACTGCAATCGAAGAAGAAACAGACCTCCCAGTGAGTAAAAACATGGATGTCATGACACTTCCTGTGTAACTCCATTAAACTTCTTCTCTGGGTGTTATGGCTTTGAGGAGTTCCGCTTTAATCAGGTCACAATCTCTATCCTTTGGGCTGCACCAGGTTAAGGGATTTGAGCTTTTTATCAGAATAAATGGATTGCCACTCTGGAATCCATTAAGGATGTGAAAATGTCATTATAGTCGTATATATCTTGTACTAATTTGTGGAGTTTGTGATGAGAAGGCGCTAGGAGAATGTTTCAGAAATGTGTTCTAAGTGACATTTTTTCTTTCAAATCAACAAACAAAATAGAATTGAAACATTAATGTTTGGTAGCTGCGTCCTCAAGTAGACCAGCCCTGGCTATGCACCAGGTGCCATCTAGATAGTTAATAACCAGGAGCTTTAGTCTATGAGGTGACACTAATGCTGAGCTCATTGTCTCCACCAGTTCCCAAATCCCTTGGTCCTAATCCTGTGTCTGTCTTCTATCTGCAAGTTGGAGGGTAATTGCCTCTAAAAATTTTGACCAACTGGGGAACAAAAACCCATTTGAGCCCTTTACGCCTTACGTCCCTGTTAAAAAACAAGCAAACAGAAACTTCCCTGCTTTCCCCAATGCTAAACAAATGATGAGTCTAATTATTTAGTTTGTATACTTTAAAAAAATAAGATTATGGACAGATCACAAACATAAAACAAAAGAAAAAGTAATAGAAATTGTAAAAGAAGGGCAAAGCCAAGTAGTGAATAGGGGAGGGGGGTAAAAGGAAGAAGAAGAGAAAAAATTATACTAGAAAATCAAAGCTGAGGCAAGCTCCTGCAATTGAGAAGAAAATTAGCTCTGAGATTCTGGTGACCAAAGCAAAAAATAGAAGTACAATGGATTCTTAACAGATTGTCAAGGGAAACAAAGTTTTTCCTCTCTCTAAATTATTAAAGGAATTTATCACCTGGGCCCTAAAATACAGGTCATTTGGACAATATAATAGATGGAGACTGCATTAGCAATTTATTAAAAGTCCTATTGACATTTCTTAGATCTTCCCTAGATAAATCATATTTAACATGTAACAGTTGCAGCTGACATTCAAACTACTACTGTTACAATTAAAAGTCCATGATAGTATTTTCAAATACTTTAATTCTCTGCTGCCCGGTACTTCTAGCCCCCAATTCCCTGCTCCATTACCTGTAGTATTCCACTTATTCATTAAAATAGTTATGCCATCATTAATAGCACAGAGTACACCCCACAATGGGAACAATAATTCTGAAAAGTTACATGTAAGGCCAGAATCTTAAATTGCGATAGGACATACAAGGTCATTTATTCCAATAGATCTCAAACCTAGCCCTTTGTCCCAATTGCCTGGCAATATTTTTAAATACCATATTCCCAAACCCAGCTTCCAGATTCTGATTAAGTAGTTCTGGGTATAGGCCTGAAAATAGGTTGGTGGTGGTGGTAAAGAGATTCTCCTATGAAGTCAGGCATTTAGGAATCACCAGTCTGATCCTGTCTCCCATTCAGTACAGGATTCCTCTCTAAACATAGCAGTGACTCGTTGCCCAGACCATGTTGAAGGATAGCCTTGACTTCATGAGAAAAGATATTCCATTATGGGAATGTTCTAATCATCAAATCATACATTCTCCACTACCACAGTATCTTAATAAGGTTTCATTTGATTTCTGATTAAACTTTAATTCTTAGGAGCTGCAAATCCTTGAAAATATTTGTTCCTGTAGTTTGTGTATCAAATATTTGAAGATCTTACAAAATAATGTAAATGCATCAAGAGGATTATATTAACATGATTCTTTAGAGAATTATTTTGTAAGTAAAACCTTGTACCATGCAGCTATTAATCCTTAAAGTATATATAATGTTAGTTGAAGTATATTAAAGTTGGCAAGTTGTATACACTATATGCTCTTTATACAAAAAGTTTTTTGAATCCTTATATCACTCATACTGTCAAATTGATGTCTCTATTGAAAGTATATGTTAATTTTTCCCATTTTTAACATCATTTGGAATTATTTATTTATAGTAAGTGTTGCTATTTTGACTGCTTCTTTAAAAAGTCTGTGTCTGCCTCTAAGAAACCAGTTTTTTACTATAGGTCCCTGATGTTTAGAATGTGACCTGAATTGAAGATCTTAGACTGTTTAACATGAATAATAAATGACCGGAATAATTTACAAGTTATGCATTTCAAATTAAATGAATAACAAATAAAATTTCACATTATAGCACTGAATATATTCTCCTGAAGAAGATTCATTACATGTGTATGAGTCCCATGTGGTAAACAGGGCTAGGCAAAAAGCAAGAAAATAAACTTAAGGTAGAGGAAAATAAATTAATTAGATCTGTCATTTTCCTCAAGGGCAAGAATTATACAAAAGAGCAATTACTTTGTGCACCTCAGGAAGGCTAGTTGACTGAAGAATTGTTTTCTCCATTCTTCACATTTTCTCCATTTTTAAATATGAATTGATTGGGTTTTTGATATAAATGCTCTTGGGGAGAATTTGGTGAATGTTTAGACCAGGTGAAGCCTCTCAGGTTTGTCAAAGCACATGTTGCTGGAGGAGGTGTAATTTATTCACACAGACTGGTATTTAGAGATTATCTTATCAGTGCAAAGTACAGAGGTAAAAAGCTGCTTCATTGCAGGGGACTCCGGTATCAGGAAGCAGTCTAGACATCGGGTCATCATTCAGCTGCCAGCCAATGGGGGCCGAGACTGCACAGATCCCCTCTATGAAGAAAAGGCCTGCGAGGCACCTCAAGTGTGCCAAAGCTACAGGTAGGATTAGGGAAATGCATCGTGAGGGAGGAGCTGAACAAATACGTCAACTCCACTTCATTTCCTAGGATAAGGAAAGGAAGTCAACACGCTTCCACAGGCTCAGTGGAGTTGGGAACGTTTATGGCTGTAGCTGCCATTCTTGTCTCTTCATCTTTGAGAGAGCTGCTCTACTGTATAAGGAGACAAATACTTGTATACATTTCCAAGGTGTGATATTAGCCACGGTAGTTTAGGGAAATGTCTTATGTTGGAAGAAGGTATAAGAAATGCTGAACGTGATTAATAGTTATGAAACATATATGCTTTAGGAAGCAATTCATTTTCACTTAGAAGAATAGCCTAAGTATTTCTCCTCTGGCTCCAAAGAGCACCTGTTTGTTCTCATAAATGCTGGTATTCTGGCTTGTGAAATGACAACGGTATCTCAGTGATGCTAATAAGATGTCTGTTGTGTTCATTTGTGATCACCTCAAATAAAATCATAGTTATTGAGGCTATGTATCATCTTGATAACTTGTTAGAGAAATTTCACCTCCTCATGATTAAGACAGAAAATATCTAGTAGAAATCTGACGCAGTATATGTTTGCAGTCCCGACAGTAAATAAAATATTACGGCATCAATTAATGCCAAAATAATTACTTAAGATGGTATTATTGTCAAATTTGCCATCTTAATGTATCAGCCTTAATTCTGAGATGACAAATACTTGTCATGTGTACACGTGAACATTGACAACTACTGGTTCAAACTTATTTATTTTTGCAATTTGTTTTTATAAAGTGTACTATAATTACAGTCGCTGAGATACTCCTACAGTGCGAACCAAAAGAGCACCATACAAAAGACTCATGCCTTGAATACAGCTTCGTAACTTGAATAAAATAAATGTATTTTATTTAAATGGCATGCATCACTTCTGGGGCCCTCTGGTGCATCTGTTGGCAGTCCTAATTATTAAAAAGTCTAAAAGTTCTCAGTAGAGTTCCATAGAGCTTGACAATGATTGTCTTCATTGCCAGAGAAAGTACTTTTGTATTTAATGCTGCTTCTTCTAAAGCCTTGATGGAGATCTAAATTAAATTTAAATAGAACTGAGCATTGTTAAATAAATTCCTGTTTGCAGTAGTCAGTCATGCTGCTGTGTGTCTGTGATTTGCCTGGCATTTTTGCTGCTTCTCCATCAGGCTTCTGTTCTTATCTTGTAGGTGGAAGACCCACAAATGGCGCAGATGCCAATTAGTCCCTTGGAGCGTGCAACAAGACAGCCCTGGAGCACAGGAAGGCTGTGGGCCTGGGCGACAGGCAAGAGGTGGGAGGCCCCATTCCACAGTTCATTTCTCCAACATCACCAGTTTAACCACTATTTTGATGTGCTTGTCACTTTGACACCATGCTCAGCAAACAGAGCAAAGCAGATATAAATCTGCTATGAGCCACTCCACAAAACATCAGGACATGGAAACTTGTCTTTTTAAATTGCCCCTGTTGTTTTGTGGCATTAGCTCATAACTCTGGAATTTTTCTCTCATTTATATCTGAAAGAAAATCAGGCCAAACTTTCAGTGATGACATAGATGGTACACTGAAGCTTTTGGTTTGTTTTTAGATTGAAGTATTCCATAGCACTTTGCTTGCCACCTAAAACAGTATGATTTCTACTTCCTTGTCTACCTGCATTGTGTATGTGCATATATGCTATGTAATAGAATTCGTTAACTTTTTCAGAAGTTCTCAGAATGACATTCCTATCATTTTCATGGCTATCTACATTCTGTTCATATTTAGTACTGATTTTTAAATGGAAGACTTATTTGCTTATCTGTAATCTGCAGCACTAAATAACATGGAATCTTGCAGAAATGGATAATGAAAATGTTTGAAGCTTGTTTACTAGATATTATAGGGAATGTATAAAGCTTTGAAATATGTTGTTTCTTCTAGGCATAACAAATTCAGTATTTAAAGAGTGCATGGTTATTTTTACTCATATTGACTTTTAGAATATAGCTCCTGCTGTATACTTAAAATGTAGTTTAATATGTAATTGAATATGCAAGAAACTGGATTTAATTTATAAAAAACTTATTTTGTTCTCTCACATGTAGTTATATATTTCAGGTTGACATAAAAATTTGAACATATAGAGCAGAATTCCAGTTTTTAATGATTTTATCTGGGACTTCCTTTTCTATACAATGAAAAAACTGCCTTTTTGAGGGAAAAAAAAAAAAAAAGCTTTTATTTCCTTTAAAAAAAAAATCCCCTATGTTTATAATCTTCCTTTTAGAAGCCTTCTTCTGAAACATAAAACTTAGTTTCCAAATAATCTTAAATTCCTAGTTGCAGTAATTTTTAGAATTTTATTTTATTTCCATAATTCTCATTATGTGTCTCCCACCATCAACTTAGGATAAAATGTAATTGTGACTCCCTTTGTAGTTATAGAAACTGTAGGAAAGTTGCGTTATGAGGTACAGTATACAGAGCTGAAAGTCATTCTTCTCCATTTCAAATCATTCTTTGAGAGACTGAGTGAAATCTTCTTCGCATGCCCTGCTGATCCCTTCTTAAGCATAGATTTGCCTACATTTTCTGTTCTTTTATATACGTGTATATATATATTGCGCTTTAGGTTCTGGGGTACATGAGCATAACATGCAGGATTGTTGAATGGGTACATACAAGGCAGTGTGGTTTCCTGCCTCCATTCCCTTCACCTGTATCTGGCATTTCTCCCCATGTTATCCCTCCCCAACTCCCTACCGCCCATTATCCCTCCCCTAGTCCCCTCAACAGACCCGGCTGTGTGATGCTCCCCTCCCTGTGTCCATGTGTTCTCATTGTTCAACACCCACCTATGAGTGATACCATGCAGTGTTTGATTTTCTGTTCTTCTGTCAGTTTGCTAAGAATGTTGGTTTCCAGATTCATCCATGTCTCTGCAAAGGACACAAACTCATTGTTTTTTATGGTTGCATAGTATTCCATGGTGTATATGTGCCACAATTTCCTTGTGCAGTCTCTCATCGATGGGCATTTGGGTTGGTTCCAGGTCTTTGCTATTGTAAACAATGCCACAATGAATGTACGTGTGCATGTGTCCTTATAATAGAATGATTTATAATCCTTTGGATATATAACCAGTAACAGGATTGCTGGGTCAAATGGAAGTTCTATTTCTAGGTCCTTGAGGAATTGCCACACAGTCTTCCACAATGGTTGAACTAATTTCCACTCCCACCAACAGTGTAAAAGTGTTCCTTTTTCTCCACATCCTCTCCAGCATCTGTTGTCTCCAGATGTTTTAATGATCACCATTCTAACTGGAATGTTTTTCCATCTGTTTGTGTCCTCTCTTATTTCCTTGAGCAGCGGTTTGTAGCTCTTCTTGAAGAGGCCCTGTACATCCTTTGTTAGTTGTATTTCTAGGTATTTTATTCTCTTTGTAGCAGTTACAAATGGCAGTTCGTTCTTGATTTGGCTCTCTTTAAGTCTGTTATTGGTATATAGGAATGCTTGTGATTTCTGCACATTGATTTTGTATCCTGAGACTTTGCTGAAGTTGCTTATCAGTTTCAGGAGATTTTGGGCTGAGACAGTAGGGTCTTCTAAATATACAATCATTTTGTCTTCAAATAGAGACAATTTGACTTCTTCCTTTCTGATTTGAATACCATTTTTTCTTTTTCTTGCCTGATTGCTCTGGCTAGAACTTCCAATACTATATTGAATAGGAGTGGTGAGAGAGGGCATCCTTGTTTAGTGCCAGATTTCAGAGGGAATTCTTCCAGTTTTTGCCCATTCAGTATGATATTGGCTGTAGGTTGGTGGTAAATAGCTTTTATTATTTTGAGATACATTCCACTGATACCTAGTTTATGGAGTTTTTAGCATAAAGCACTGTTGAATTTTGTCAAAGGCCTTCTCAGCATCTATTGAGATAATCATGTGGCTTTTGTCTTTGGTTCTGTTTATGTGGTGGATTACATTTATAGACTTTCATATGCTGAACCAGCCTTGTATCCCCGGGATGAAGTCTACTTGAACGTGATGGATAAGCTTTTTGATGTGCTGTTGCAATTTGTCTGCTAGTATTTTATTGAAGATTTTTGCATCTGTGTTCATCATGGATATTGGACTGAAGTTTTCTTTTCTTGTTGAGTCTTTGCTGGGTTTTGGTATCAGGATGATATTGGTCTCATAAAATGATGTGGGAAGGATTCCCTCTTTTTGGATTGTTTGGAATAGTTTCAGAAGGAGTGGTACCAGTTCCTCTTTTATGTGTGGTAGAATTCAGCTGTGAACCCATCTGGACCTGGGCTTTTTTTGGTTGGCAGGCTGTTAATTGCTGCCTCAACTTCAGCCCTTGTTATTGGTCTATTCAGGGTTTCAACTTCTTCCTGGTTTAGGCTTGGGAGGGTGCAAGTGTCCAGGAATTTATCCATTTCTTCCAGGTTTACTGGTTTATGTGCATAGAGTTGTTTGTAGTAATCTCTGATGGCAGTTTGTTTTCCTGTGGAATCTGTAGTGATATCCCCTTTATCGTTTTTTATTGAGTCTCTTTGATTCTTCTCTTTTCTTTTTTCTTAATCTGGCTAATAGTCTCTCCATTTTGTTTATCTTTTAAAAATAAAAAACAGCTCCTGGATTTATTGATTTTTTGAAAGTTTTTTTGTGTCTCTATCTCCTTCAGTTCTGCTCTAATCTTAGTTATTTCTTGTCTTCTGCTAGCTTTTGAGGTTTTTTTTTTTTTATCTTGCTCCTCTAGCTCTTTCAATTTTGATGATAGACTGTGGATTTTAGATCTTTCCTTGCTTCTTATGTGGGCATTTATTGCTATAAATTTTCCTCTAGACACTGCTTTAAATTGTCCCAGAGATTCTGGTATGTTGTGTCTTTGTTCTCATTAGTTTCAAAGAACATCTTTATTTCTGCCTTCATTTCATTGTTTATCCAGTCAACATTCAAGGGCCAGTTGTTCAGTTTCCATGAAGTTGTGCGGTTCTGAATTAGTTTCTTAATCCTGAGTTCTAATTTGATGGCACTGTGGTCTGAGACACTGTTTGTTATGATTTCCGTTCTTTTGCATTTGCTGAGGAGTGACGTACCTCCGATTATGTGGTCAATTTTGAAATAAGTGCAATGTGGTGCTGAAAAGAATGTATATTCTGTGGATCTGGAGTGGAGAGTTCTATAAATGTCTATTAGGTTTGCTTGGCACAGCTCTGAGTTCAAGTCCTGGGTATCCTTGTTAATTTTCTGTCTCATTGATCTGTCTAATATTGACAGCCGAGTGTTAAAGTCTCCCACTATTATTGGGTGGGAGCCTAAGTCTCTTTGTAGGTCATTAAGAACTTGCTTTATGTATCTGTTGCTCCTGTGTGAGACACATATATATTTAGGATCATTAACTCTTCTGTTGCATTGATCCTTTTACCATTATGTAATGCCCTTCTTCGTCTCTTTTGATCTTTCTTGGTTTAGAGTCTGTTTCATCAGAGACTAGGATTGCAACTCCTCCTTTTATTTTTCTTCTCTCCATTTGCTTGGTAAATCTTTCTCCATCCCTTTATTTTGAGTCTTTGCATTTCCTTTCATGTGAGATGAGTTTCCTAAATACAGCACACTGAAGGGTTTTGACTTTTTATCCAATTTGTCAGTCTGTTTCTTTAGATAGGGGCATTTAGCCCATTTACATTTAAGATTAATTTGTTATGTGTGAATTTGATCCTGCCATTTTGATGCTAGCTGATTGTTTGGCCCATTCGTTGATGCAGTTTCTTCATTGTGTCGATGCCCTTTACCATTTGGTACATTTTTGGAGTGGCTGGTACTGGTTGTTCCTTTCTATGTTTAGTGCTTCTTTCTCTTGTAAGGCCGGCCTGGTGGTGACAAAATCTCTGAGTAGTTGCTTGTTCGTAAAGGATTTTATTTCTCTCTGCTTATGAATCTTAGTTTGGCTGGATATGAAATTCTAGGTTGAAAGTTCTTTTCTTTAAGGATGTTGAATATTGGCCCCCACTCTCTTCTGGCTTGTGGTGTTTCTGTGGAGAGCTCCACTGTGAGTCTGATGGGCTTACCTTTGTGTGTGACTCAACCTGTCTCTCTAGCTGTCCTTAGCATGTTTTTTTTAATTTCAACCCTGATGAATCTGATGATTATGTGCCTTGGGGTTGCTCTTCCTGAGAAATATCTTTGTGGTGTTCTCTATATTTCCTGGACTTGAATATTGACCTGCCTTGCTAGGTTGGGGATGTTTCTCCTGGATAATATCCTGAAGAGTGTTTTCCATTTGGATTCATTCTCTCC